CCGAGTGGCGGCAGGTCCCTGTCCTGCGGCCGGGCTGGCCGTAGGGGTGTTAAAATTATATACAAACAGAATATTCAGCCAGTTGGCCAGTTGGCCAGTCCAGTTGGCCAGTCCAGTTGGCCAGTCCAGTTGACTAGTCCAGTTGGCCAGTTGGCTTCTCTTTTCCTTCGAAATTTCAACTCTCACGTAGTCTTTATAGTCCTACATAGATTCCTTCCCCATATAGTGAACTAGTGGTGTTGACAGCCACCAGGCATACTTTACCTCTATATCAACCTTGCGGGGGGTCCTTTCTCCTACCAGCAACTACTATAGTCACCAGTTTACTATATAGTTTAGTACCCAGGTCCTTTCTTAGTATTTCTTTACTAGTTGACTTAAAGACCCCCAGATCTTATAGTCTTGATATAATAAATAAAAGCTAGCTAGCTGAAGGAATTAGACTTACTAGTAGGCTTCTTATTATCTTAACCTATTAATTAAGACAGCTGGGGTAGATAAATCAGTAATTATAGTATTTAGAATAGTATTAGTTAGACTGTGGAACTAGCCTAGTAGCTGGATATATAGTATAAAGCAGATCACTTACTATACTAACTTCTTACTAAAGATATACTAGAAGTTGGTAAGCTTTCCCTTAGCCCAGAGGGTGCTCTACTAGAGGAAGTTATGCCTTAGATACTTAATAAGAATATATTTAACTAATTAAGACCCTTATCTATAGAAGTATATAGTTAATTTAGCAGCTCTAATAGTACTCAGGTAGGCACTCAGAGTAATCTTATTAGTTAATATCTGAACTAGTACCGAGGACCAGGCCTGGTAGAGACTAGTATATAAGCTAAGAGTATTCTTACCCTCCACCACATCAATAAGAATACAGTAGATATAGTAACTATATAGATTACCAGCTCAGTTAGTCTTTTATTACTAGTTGGCTAACTCCCATAGCCACTAGTATATAGTAGAAATCAGCAGAATATTAACTAGTTAGTCTACTACCTAAGAGGCAGCAACCTTGGCTTATTAGTTGATAAGTTTATTGCCTAGTATACCTTTATAGCCCAGAAGCTACTGGAGGCGTATCTACTAACTGGTGGCCTATATACAATCCAGCCAGTTAATAATCCTTTTAATAATTTCCTGGTCTGATTAGCGCCTTGGCTCTATACAGGCGTGGATAGTAGCTTAGTTATCAGTAAGAATAACTACCGACTTCGGCTTTAGGATAGCCGCGGTCGATCTTACTAGAGGGACAGCTTTCCTATAAATAGAGTATTCTAGCTCCCCCTCTGCGAGGGTCAGGGCTAGTTCGATGCCAGTAAGCTTGGCGGCATACACCATGTATATAATATCACAGCCAACTGGCCGGATGTGATTCTTATTGCGGATCACTACAGTAGCTCCAATACCACCTGAGTGGCCGCTACTGTTAGTGTACGCGGGGAGGGTAGTAGAAGACAGGAGGGCATATCTCCAGATAGCCTCCTCCCTAGAATCAGCAATATCCATAGGTAGGGGCTCCCACCACGGGGGAACCACTACCGGTTCGATAGTCTCCACGGGTATTAGTATATCCGGGTCAAGCTCGAGGTCTTTGGCCAGTCGGCGTTCCAGCCGGTTGAGTGGCGACATGGCTGGGTCGGTTTCCGGGCCGCCGGGGCGACGTTTCCCAGGGTGTGCTTGGCGGATGGGCAGTAAGGCCCTAAACTAGAAAGTTATAGAGATTAATATCTATAGCTAAAGCCTCTCTATAAATAATACTATAATATAGACTATAGCAAAGCCTATAGTAGTTTTAATATATAGTCTTAAGAATATTCTAGATACTATAAAATCTATAAATTACTACTATAGCTAATACTATAATTAATTTACTATCCTAGATAAGAGTAGTAATAATAAGCTTAGTATTCTTACTCTTAATACTACTAGTTTAACTAAGACTACTAGTAATATATAAATACTATAAGTAGCTTAAAACTATCTAGATAAACTATTAGAAATCTAATAATATTATAATATATCTTCTTAGTAAGAAGAGGATATAGAATATAAAGCTTATTACTATTTAATAATTCTAAGTAAACTATTATAGTAATTAGCTAACTATATACTTCTAGACTCTAAGAGACTATTTCTATCTAGCTATAAGATTAATATCTAGTATAGATCTTATACTATATATCTACTTCTTTATAAATAGATATATTAATCTAATAATATAGATAATCTAATACTACTTCTAGTTTCTCTATACTCTTATACTATAGATACTAGATACTAAATATATCTATATTTATAACTTATACTAGTCTAGTAAGAATAGTAACTATTATAAAATTAATAAGTCTAAGTTTATATCTAGATCTAAAGATAAGAATCTTTATAAAGAGAAGAAGAATCTAGTTCTAGAACTACTATCTATAATATTATAGAAGCTAAGTAAATATATAGTTCTTAGTAATTTTAATCTATATTATTAGTTTTAAAATCTATTAGAATATAACTATACTAATAAGATAGCTATTCAGCTACTTGATATTACTACTAATAAGAATCTAAGACTACTTCTATCTAAAAAAGTAGTTATATATAAAAAGAATAATACTTATATTATAATTAATCTTATATAGACTATATAGTGGCTTGGTGAATCTCTCAGCTACTATTCTCTATAGAAGACCTGGTGGCTGGGTATTAATTATATACTAATCTATATAGTACTTAATTTTAGCCCTGCATCTATCTCTGTAGTAAAGTACTGGGACTGGTTAAATACTAACTAGTAAGCTTATTAGAAAGTCTTAGCTAATAATCTATAGCTATAACTACTTATATACTAATTAGTTAGATTAATTACTATTAATACTATAGTAAAGAATCTTATTAAGATTCTAACTATAGCTACTAAAGCTACTATATTAATAAAGATAATTATAAATTATATATAGTCTAGCTATACTAAGAAAATAAACTAAAGTACTAGATATAATAAGTAAAATAGTAAATTAAATCTAGTTATAGTATAGACTATAAAGCTTATAGTAAAGTCTATGATATACTTTACTAATAGACTACTAAGTAGAAGTATTAGCTTTACTAAAAGAGAATAGAAGATAAGAAATACTTTACTAAGAGATTTTAGAAGTTTATCTAATAAGTCTATATAGAAAGAGATCTATAGCTAATATTTATATCTATACTATAAGCACTAATTAGTAAACTAATTAAGAAACTAGAGACTAAAGCTAAGCTATTTTACTAGACTCTATTTCTAGTAGCTAATATTATAGATCTAACTAATATTAATGACTTCAAATACTCTAAGTCTTATAAAGTATCCTAGGTAATTCTAGAAGAAATCTATTAAGCTATTTAATAAGCTATATCTAGAAAGACTTCTAGCTCTAATAAATTATCTAATTTAGTTCTTTAGTAAGTTCTTTCTCTTATTAAAGAATATCTAAATAAGATCTTTAATATATATTTTAATATAGACTACTACTCTTAGTACTTCTACTACTCTACTACTATTATTATCTATAAGCTAGATAAGAATAACTATATTATATCTAAGAAATACTACTTAATTATACTACTTAATACTATAGGTAAGATTCTAGAGACTATTATTATATTCTAAATAAGCTATATAGTAGAGGTACTAAATCTACTTCTAGAATATTATATTAATAAATACTAGAAATAATTCTATAATTATATCTTATATCTTATTCTTAAATAGATTTATATTATATAGTAGTCTAGCTATCTAGTAGCTAGTCTACTTATAGTAGATACTTAAGATATCTATAATAATATTATCTACTAATATCTTATTTATAATATAAGAAAATACTATATACTAACTAAAATTATTAACTAGACTATCTTTTTTCTTACTAACAGATAAACTACTATTATTATATAGAAGAGAATTATAGAAAAGAGAAAAATAATTATAGGTATTATCTAGTATTTACTACTCTTATCTATTCTTCATCTATTTTATAATACTAATCTACTTAAACTATTCTTTATAGATAATTATATTCTAATTATTAGCTATATAAATAATATATATATACTAATATAGAGAGATATAATTCTTAAGAACTAGTAATATTAATATATCTTTGTATTCTTATCTTTAAAGTATAACTTAATTAATATAATAAGAAGTCTTTTATATATAGAAATACTCTTTATTATATAATTAAATAAGCTCTTAACTATTATAAATATAATAGTTAAATTAATATAGAATCTTCTTTATCTTAGAATCTTCTTAGATCTAAAATTAGTAGGAACTATCTATCTTATATAGTTAGAAGTTAAAGCTACTTAATTTACTATAGTACTTTTCTTAATAATAAACTCTATCCAGAATATATCTACTACTAATCTTTACTATATATATACTACTATAATACTTCTATAGCTACTCTTTAGATACTCTATCTAGTTTATTTAGAGTATCTAAGAATTCTAGAGAATAGCTATTAATATTATACTTTAAGAGTATCTAGTATAAGATTCTATACTAAGTAGTTAGAGTCTTCTATATTATTATTTAGACTATTCTTAAAGTCTATCTTAATATACTACTATTATAGATTTTTATAAAATATACTATCAAGAATATCTATCTCTAGATTATAGTATTACTATTCTACTATAGAATCTTATTATTTATTTACTAAATATATTCTAGAAAGTACTATCTTAATAGTCTAGAAACTAATTTAGTTATATTACTACTTAATTAGCTAAAATACTAACTAGCTAAAGATCTTAAGCTTAATCTAGATATACTAATATCTATAGAGACTATTAAACTAGTAATAGTTCTCCTGTAATAGAAGTCTCTATCTATAGATATTACTAATTCTAGAGAAGAGACTATTTAGAGATATACTCTTCTATCTTTTATTATTCTTTCTATATATACTAATAGTAGTAGCTACTCTAGTAATATTAGAGTTATTATAGTAATTTATAATAAGAAATATATCTAATTAGTCAGCTATAATAATATATATATAGTATATACTACTAAACTTACTAGTATTAAACTAGTTCTAATTCTTATTAAGAAAGAGTTAGAATATTTTATCTATAGAAAAGCTATTTTCTAAATAAAATTAATTATAGCTACTCTAAAGTCTAAATTAGTAGTTATTTTTACTAATAATTAAGCTATTATTTATATCTATATAAAGTTAAGATACTAATTAGACTAGAAAATTATTAAAAGAAGTATTAACTAGTTAGATTATATATAAACTATTAATTAGTAGATATACCTCTAATAGCTTCTAGACTATAAGAATATACTAAGTAATAAACTTACTAACTAATATACTAAGACTACTATCTCTTAGACTATAGACTAACTAGTTAATACTCTACTGATTTCTACTGTATACTAGTATCTATAGAAGTTAATTAATTAGTAATAGAAGACTAACTAGACTAATAATCTATACAGCTACTATATCTACTATATTCTTACTAATATAGTAAAGGGTAAGAAGACTCTTAGCTTATATACTAGTCTCTATTAGGTCTGATTCTTAGTACTAATTTAGATATTAACTAGTAAGATTGTCCTGGGTACTTATCTAGATACTATTAGAGCTGCTAAATTAACTATATACTTCTATAAATAGAAGTCTTAATTAGTTAAATATATTTTTATTAAGTATCTAAGATATAACTCTCTCTAGTAGAATATTCTCTAGGCTAAGAGAAAGCTTACTAACTTCTAATATATCTTTAATAAGAAGTTAATATAGTAAGTAATCTACTTTATACTATATATTTAGTTACTAGGCTAGTTTTATAGTTTAACTAATACTATTCTAAATACTATAGTTACTAATTTGTCTTCCTTGACTATCTTAATTAATAGACTAAGATAATAAGAGATCTACTAGTAAGTCTAATTTCTTTAACTAGCTAACTTTTATTTATTATATTAAGACTATAAGATCGGGGGCCTTTGGACTAACTAATAAAGAAATACTAAGAAAAGACCTAGATACTAAATCAAGTAGTAAACTGGTAACTGTAGTAGTTGCTGGTAGAAGAAAGGACCCCTATAAGATAGATATAAAGGTAAGTATGCCTGGTGGCTACCAACACCACGAGCTTGCTATATAGAGAAGAAATCTACGTGGGACTATAAAGACTACGTGAGAGTTGAAATTTCAAAGAAGCTAACTGGCCAACTGGACTGGCTAACTGGCCAACTGGCTGAATATTCTGTTTGTATATAATTTTGACACCCCTACGGCCAGCCCGGCCGCAGGACAGGGACCTGCCGCCACTCGGCCTATAGGGCTGACATATGCGTGTATGAATCAATCAATCAATCAATTAATATTAACTTATAAAAATCTACTTTATATAAATAGAGTTCTAATTAGTAAAACTATCTTAATCTATATCTATATACTCTTATCTTATTATATAAGAGGAATATATTCTTTAAAGAAATACTACTTACTTGAAGTAGTCTTAGCTTTTAGCAGAATAATAAAAAATAAAGACTAATAACTTATTAAAAAATAATATATAAATAGAATATTATTTTACTTAGTCTAAGAATGTCGATAGAATTACTACTAAGATATAAATACTTATTATTATAATAAGTTATAATACTATTGATTATTTTAATTAAACTAAGCTAAACTAAATAAGTTAAAATAA